GAATCATGTGCATCAGTGGCATATAATGGAGAGTTATAGCAAACCAGAGAACCGGTCCCGGTTTGGTACCCGGTAGCCGACCGGTGCCACTGCGCGTGCGCAGAGGTGGAGATTAAAATCGGCTGGCTGCAAGTGCACCATCCAGGGCCGTACGCAGAAAAAAAATTTCCGGGGGGGGAGGGGGGGGGGGTGTCAGAACCCCCTAACCCCCCCCCCCTGGTTACGGCCCTGGACACGACACATTGCATAATTAAATTTGTAATTACGATATGCCATATTTCGTTTTTGTAATGACGATATCAACAGTCTACATGCTATTTGAAAATCGTATCGTACGAGAAACCTCGGAACGCGAAGATTGCCGAGCCAAATGAATCCAAAGTATCAGGCAGCTAAATAAGGCGTTCTCTAACCGCGATTTTTTTTTTTCTTCCTAATCCGGTAAGAATGTGACAAAGGGCCCCTTCGCGATGGGAGCATCTCGCTAAGGCCGATAGTCGCATTACGGCCGAGAGTGCATTAAGGCCGAGAAGGGCGAAAGGGGCCGGGGGTGGCTTTGAAGTCGAATGGGGCATAACGGCCGAAAACTGCATTAAGACCGATAGTCTCTGAATGAGCTGGTGTGGCCACCTTCTCGGGGGTCGCGTTGTGGTTGACGACTTTAGTTGCCACCAAATAAAATAGATGGCGCCACATTGAGCGTGGCGGATGAAATCAACATATTTTCAGTCTCGTCAGTCGCCGTGGTCTCTTCTCAGATTACAATGATTGGCGCTCCGAATAGTATAAACTACTTAATTTTCGAGAGGACCTAATTTTCGCCAATCGCCTATAATTCGCGAAAAATGGGTCCCGCGAACAATTCCGTTAAAATGTAAACACATTAGAATCGAAATTGAGATCTTACCGCGTCGCGAAAATTAGAACCCGCAAATCATTCTAGAACTCCAGCTTTGACCTAATTGCGAAAAATAAGTTGTTTACAATGTTCTGCGGGAAAGTAAACTTATGACATTTTTAAGAGTGTATCTGCCGGTGACTGCAAATACTGCGGTTTTTGGTTTGTTTTCACCCTTCACGGCCGGCACAGTCGGTTCGCCGGCCTTGCCAATCCAAATTTCTCATTTATTTATTTGCTTTTATGCGCGTTATCATTTCTGATTCGTTTGATCAGTAGTTCCTTCATCTGCATATTTGGATTATGTACACACACGCACACGTATTTCAAAATAAATGGTATGAATTTAGGGCGCCTCTTCGGTACAACGTTTCTATATTTTAATCATCCACTTTTTAGGAGTTCAGTGAAACATTTATTGGGCCTTTTCAAATTTCAGCACTTTAACTAAATTAGTTATGTCTCTGATTCTACCAGGCAGCCACGAAAACGATGAGTGCGATTGATTTTCGAATTTTATTTTCAATCTTTTTCACAGCGAAACGTTGAAGAAAACACATAATAGGAAATATGAAAAACACATGAGCCATCAGAATGTCAGAACATGACAATTAACTCACCGTCGGAGTGCATTCTTGCCTTAGAGAAGTGCCACGTGCTTCGTTCCGTCTCTCTAATTGGCTCACGAGGGCATAGCTTCGCCCTTTGCCAAAAAATTATGTCACGGAGTGTAGCAAAAAAGAAAAGCTAGTCTAAACGGTCAAAGCGCTATATGTTTAATTAGTCGTAAAGGATAAAGCAATAAAACCAAAAAACGCAGAATTTGCCGTCACCGAGATACAATGTGCACTGACAAATAAAATAAATATGTTGCACAATCTTTCTTATTTGGTGGCAACTAAAGTTATCAACCAAAACGCGCCCCCCGAGAAGGCGGCCATACTAGCCCATTCAGAGACTATCGGTCTGAATGCACTTCTCGGCCGTTCTGCCTTATTCGGCTTGAAAACCACTCCCTGCCCATTCGCTCCTTTCGGCCATAATGTACTCTCGGGCGTAATGCGACTATCGGCCGAAATGACAGTGACCCTTCGCAATGGCCTCGGAGGACCACAACACTCCCCGCTATCCTCTTTTTGAACGAATAAAAAACAAAGCAAATCTCGCAGCTCGCAGGGCGCAGAGCCGTCTGCAGGGCGGTGGGACAGGATGGGTGGGTTAAGTGGGGGCTTTCACGGTCAAGCCGTCCGCTGATAACCGGAACAAAAAGTCTAGCTTTTTCTTTATTTTTATTTGGAAGTAGAACTACATCGCGTAAGCAGTTGAGTGGAAAGGCTCCCCCCCCCCCCCCCCCAGTACCATCTGGATTTTGAAAAAGTTTCTATCGGCGATGAAATTCTACTGCTATATCATCTTAAAGGGACCATGAAGACACCTTCGATATTTTATTTTACAGTTGGAATAAGCTTCAAGCAATGTTGACAAAGTCATAACATGTGCTGACGCTTGGGTGCCGCACAAATCACTTAAACAGACCCCGCTAGTATTCCTACCCGTGGCGACACCTCAAAAAGGCGGGAAGACCGATTTTCCGTGACGTTCAAGCTTAACATCAGAGTAGGCTCAATACCTTGGTAGGCTCGTAAAAGCCGCTTCACAGATCTGCGTTCCGAGCTACAGGAACGACAGAAACGACAAGAACGACATGACACCGGGACAACCGTGACACATGATTGCTTGATAAAGCTGCTCATTGCATTATCTGTCACGCTCTATAATGTGAAGAGAATCGTCCCGGTGCCATGTCGTTCGTGTTGTTTCTATAGGAAGTATTCACTGGCGGCCATAGCTGTGTGCGCGACTGCTGAGCGCGTGCTGATGGCGAGCTTCCACAGTTCTTTTGTAACGTGCATTCCGCACCCTCAAGATTGCCGGTCTTAGCAGCCTATTAATGTGGGCTCGTTCAGAGCATGCGCTCTAGACAGCACCCACAAATATGGCGCCCAGTGAATACTCCTCATAGTTTCTGTCGCTCGGAACCACGGTGTAAGATACACTCTTTAGGTGAGGACACGGCGGGGCTGAACGCGCGGCGCGAGGAATCAGATAGTGTTCGCTCGACGGGCATCCGAAAGGCTGCATTATTCCGCGGCCACCGTGCCCGCGGCTGACAGTGTCGCCGGCGGCCAAACGGCGAAACTGTGTGAAAGCGAAAAAAGTGATGTCGTTGCCATGACACCCCGGTACACCGTGATCTTTCTGCACGAGCGACAACCTCGCTGGAGCTCTGCGCGTGTGGAGCATGAGGCGGTACGAGCCGTCTTTGACGTGCCCACGGGTCGACGAGTCATCTGCCGGCGCCGCTTGAAACCATAGTGAGAGAGAGAGAGGAAAAGCGAACTTTATCTGCACTGCGCGACGGGCGCGCTGTCCTCACCTGAAGATTATTATCTTAAACCGTGCTCGGAACGCAGAGGAGTGAACTAGAGTGCCGTCATGTGCGCTTCGCATAGAGTGATGCCAACTGCCTGTTTCCCTTTCCCACACCCTCTTCCACCGCCATTGTGTTCCTCTCATTGATTCCCCGTGCGCTGGAAAGTGGCCTTTGTGTCCATTGGTAATCCCATCCGAGGGGGAAAATGCTAATCCTCCCTCCGTGGGTTCCACAACGCTGCTCCGAACTTCTGAGATAAGGTGCTTGTTTCCGGGAGGGTTACAAGCCCCACGGATTATCGCCGAGGAACAAAATGGCTGCTGGTTTGTCGGCGAGTGGTATTACAAAGGGTGGCATCACCCTAGCAAAGCGCACATGAAGGCTCCCTAGAGTGAACCAGGCTTGAGGTAATAGACCGACCTCACCGCCAGTTTCGCTACGCCTCCTCTGGCGCAAAGCATTGCGGGAACTGTAGTCTTTCCGCACAAGGGTCAGCGCCGCTGTAGGCTTGCGCGTGTCGATCACGAGCCGTCTCGTGCACTACCGCTGCCTCCTGTGAAGTGCAACTATGGCTGCGTCACGCACGCTCCAGACGGTTGGTGAGAGCCGTCTAATCTTCAAAGCGAACGGCGAGCTCTCGTTTTCTTCGCCGATGATGTTGAACCATTTTTACGTGTGAAATCAGTATAGGATTGCACTCGTCTTCAAGCTGACATAGAACATGTTTCAAATTGGTGCTTCAAAAACCACTTGTTTAATCCCGAGAAAAGCCAACATATTGTACTATCTAGAAAGCGTAAATTCATTTCTTTTTTCTTATAACCTTGAAGGCGCCTTGATACCCCGGGTATCTTTTGTAAGGGATCTTGGTGTCCGTATTGACAGTTCACTTTTTTTCAAAGAACATGTGTCTATAACTGTTAATGCTGCGTTAAGAGTGTTAGGCATTATTTCTCGGTTATGCTGGCGGTTCTCATCACCCTCTTGTTTGTTGCATTTGTTTAAGTCACTAGTTAGATCACGGTTAGAATTTGGCTCGGTAATCTGGAATTCATTATCTCTTGGTCAAGCAACGGAAATCGAAAATGTACAAAAGCGGCTGATAATAACTGTGTATGACCGCTACATTGGAAGGTCTTTTTTATCATTTTAAAACGCTACTTCACCGGTTTGCATTATATGAACTTGCCGTGAGGAGGCAGTCCAAAGATTTTGTTTTTCTTCATAAAGGTGTTCCTGGTCACGTCAGGTCAATGGATTTGCTACGATACATTGACTTCCATGTTCCATCAAGGGCCAGCCGGAATGTATTAAAGGGATACGGAATCGAAACTTGAAATATAGAGAAAACATCAAGAAATGAGTTCAATATGATCAGCTAAGCCTGTAGTGAATAATCGCACGGTCCTATTTTGAGCAGATGGCTATATTTTATGCTCTAAATGCCGCGATTTTGGCGAGCGCTTCAAAATCAGCCATGGAGGAGCGCGATGCATCTCGGGAGATCCGGCAGACGTCTTGACGTCATCATGCCTCGGACGACCAAGCGTACCGTAGTGACGAGTTTTGCCACTTGGAGGCGTCAGCGCGTTACAATCTCGCTTTGTCGAAGTACCCAAGGGCTGTAGATATCGCGGGGCCAGCAGAGGCAGCAGAGGCGTGGAGGGGCGGAGGTGTCAGAGCTGCTTCAACTGCCTTGAGTGTGCGATGGCGTGTCTACATGACGAGAGTGGTGGCAGCGGCAGTGGGTACGATGACATTAGCGAAGACGAAGATGTCAACAGATCGCTAGTGGCTATGGTGGGGGAAAAGCGATTCGGCTTAGAGCCATATCTGTGCGATCCTTCGGCATCGTCATCCGCAACAGACGAGGAGTCGTCCGACTCTCCGGAAACGCCAGGCTGGCCAGGCAGCCCACATCCACCAGCAGCCCGGCGCGTCGGCACGGCGAATTGGTGAGCCTAGGGTGCCTTCATGTGCGCTTTGCTTAGGGTGGAGACATCTGGCCATTTTGTCTCACTTTTATTTTTACTTTTTGTTCAAAAGCGCGTGAAAGAACGTGTCCCTGCACGCGCTCGTGGCGCTGACTGTGCTCCGGCGACATTTTGTTTTTGTCGATTTCTTTGTATTTTACCCGTGAGCGCGTGCTGTCGGCATCGGGTACTACAAAGGGTGGCATCACCCTAAACAGAAGGACATTGAGGCACACTAGGTGAGCCTAGTCACAGAAGAGTCCGCGAATGCATTCGCGCGCGCACGTGTAATAAAGCAGCGAGACGATTTAATGACAGCGCGCTAGCCGCGCTGTCATGAATGATGAAACTACGCTGTCTAAACCAGGTCGCTGTATTAGCGTGTAACTTCTGTTGGTAAGCTTGCGAAACGTGGTTTTGTCGAAGGAGCGCTCGCGTTAACAAAGATCAGTAGCTAAAGTACGCTTGCAACGGCGGCTATCCAAAAGTGTACGTACGCACGAACACGGCAATGAATGTGCCGCGAAACGCTTTTATGGAAGGACTGAAAGATGTATAAAAACGCAAGTTTCGAACCAAAAAGCGCGTGTGGCCTTCGAAAGAGCTTTCCCCGCGCGTGGGCTGGATCGTGCAGGCAACATCTTTAGCGAAATAATTTGTTGGCCTAGTTGGGTAAACATCACAAAAATAAAAAAGCGCGAAAGGCAAGGAGAAGTGAAAGACTAGACAGGACAAACCCTTGTCCTGTGTAGTCTTCCACTTGTCCTCGTCTTTCGCGCTTTTTATTTTCGTGATGTAGCAACACAATCTGCCCGGGTGCTCCGCCGCAAGTGCGTACGTAACCAGTGCTACCATGCTACAAGCCCGAGGTGGTTTTGCACGACGTTTCCCCTTCGCGCGTGCGCAGCGGTCCCGCTCAAAGCATCGCGCTCGCTCTGGTAGCATCTTCGCTCACACTTATCGCTGAAGACTGCCTGCCGTAGTGCAGCAACAGTGCTTCACACTGTAGCCGAGGCATTGCGTCAGTGCAATATGTCATGTAGTAACGGTACACGGCGGTACGATGCTCATCGAGATCGAACAGGAGAGGGATGGACAGAGCCCAGCATCCCCAGCTGGTTCTGCGATTTCATGTTCCGTTCAACATGCTCGGCTACTAATCTTCCCTGAAGGAATGTAATCTACTGTGAGTGCTTGCAAACCAAAGATGTAAAGAACACACGTTGTGAAGGTTGTGCGAATTTAGTACTTTTTCACGAACATATTTGTACATACCACACACTTTGTAGGTCTCGAGAATATTAAGGGTGAATAAATAGAAAAACAAATCTCTTTGTACTAACAGGTGCTCCTGTGGCAGCGTCTGCAGACCAATGCAGACAGTCGAGGAGTCGGTGTGCTGCAGGGAGTTGCACAATGTGGTGCGTATGTGCAGTGACCAGGGGGTGCCTTGTGTAACAAAGCACCCCTTGTTCGAGCTGTATTGCCTAAACACCGACATCTTGGACCTAGAGCACCTCAAGCTCCGGTACTTCTGCCCTCTTGATGCAGGAGACAGGGGCCCACAAGAGTATGTATATTGTAATTCTAGCAGAAGTCATGATGTAAGCAAGATGATTTTCTCACTTGATACTGCCTCTCCTTCAGAAATCAACATTCCATGATTCCAGTTTTCTTATGCTCCATTTTTTTCTGGATTTGTAAGATAAAAGGATAAACCACCATAGAAGAGTTCTGTAACTTGTATTGCCTGCACTGTACTCGGCATCACCTGTTTTGTGCTGCATTGTCGAGGCAAATGTAGCTTCCACCGTGCTTCAGCTACACACTGCTGCAAAAGCACATGGCTTTGTGTTTATTCTCAATCAAATGCTATCGCACAACTAGCTTTGACAGTTAAAGCACTATCGCAGCTACTCTATCTTTTGCAATATGGCAGAAAATAGTTGTCACCAAATAAAACGCATGTGTAAACATGCACAATCTATGAAGAGTTTACTACTCAATAAAATTTGCTTTCAAGCTCGTCCATCGCTGTATTCATAGCATTTCAGATAATACAGATAGCAACTGGTACATATACAGGTCATCATTGCAGCATGGTTGGGTGCGATATCTCAAGGAAAAAATAACAAAATTGCGTAACGAGAAGTAAATTTTTATAAATGCCAATGACTGATTGACCTCGGTGATGACAAGTAATAAAAAATACAAAGGTATGCTTCTTCCTGCATTATCAATATTGCTACCATGTAACTAGATATTGAGAAAATTTTTGTAAATTGCAGTTAGGTTCTATTATATTCTCTTGAACTGGCAACTGACTGGTACTTCATGCAATCATCTCATTTTAGGAGGCACCGCTACACTGCCTACCGGCAATTCACTTGGTGGGTTCACCATAAGCTGGGGCGCGGTAACCGGGTGCCACTGCCCAGCTGCGCCGTGCAACGAATTCGACGAGAGTTCCGATCCACCGATGGAAGTTATGTCGGTTTCAAGAAATAAAAGGTATCTGCCATATGAAGAACTCCTTTACATCATGCTATAACTGATGTGGCTAGACAAAAACGGCCTGGAATAAACACACATTTATTATACAACACAAAACCAGAACAGGGTGATGTAGGTCGAATATACAAGATTGTCCGTTTCCGTAATGTACTGAAAAATATACTTCTTGCAACACGTCTTGACCTTTCTCACTGAGTCTGGTTCTGCTGCAAGTCCTCCCATTAACTCGGTTCAAGTGCGCTTCCTATGTCTGTTACCAACAAATACTTGATCACCAATTGTTGCAGAAAATTTTACTAATTTTCACGTTTTGCTCAGTCAGGAACAGAAAGGCACCTGGAAACACATTTGTACTAACTTCATGGAACGATTCACAGCAAAACTCAACTTTCTAAAAAAAAAATCATCACATGTGATAAGACCTGGATTTTCTAGTGCAGTCTGGATACCGGACAACTTATGCACTGGAATACTCCCATGTCACCGATAAGAAAAATGGCAATGCAGAATCTGCAGAAAAAGTAAAGGAAAAAATGACATCTCTGCTAGAGGGGTTGGCACATGGTAACCTGCAGCACTATTCTCAACAGGGGGAAAGTTGCATGTAACATTGTAATGATAAGGGGGGGGGTCATGTTAAAGAGGGTGTTAGTGAAATTGGAAGACTAATAAATCATGCTTTTGTCACCAGTCAATATTTAATATCCACAACTGGTAAAACTACCAGATGAGAAAGGTTTTCATATAACAATATACCTTCTCGATTGCCGGGAGCAGAAAGGCCTTCTGAATAATAAAGAAGGTCTTGTAGCAGAAACAGGCGATGCCCATGCTACTGAGCATCCGCAGGGCCTTCTTGATGCTGCAGCCCGTGAAGAGGATTGCAGCAGCCACCAGGATGTTGCCAACTGGCTTCCGCCTGATGACAGGTTGGCTGCACCACGTCTCTGTATGGCCGCTCCGACAGAGCGTAGACACCTGAAGGCTTGAGCCCTGGACGGTCTTGTCGATGTGAGTGTTGGGGGCAGCACAGGAGCGACACGTCTCCAGTAGCTGGTCCAGGCATGACTCGAAGACGATGAACTTCCACTCATGCACCAAAGATGGAGCTTCCTTCTCGGGGCTATGTTGCAAAAACAAACATCATCTCAACAGGTGGCTCAGTCAAGAATGAAGATGCGGTCAGTTATTGCTCAAGAGCATACAAACCTAGCAAAGCTGTCCTCTGACAGACAGTAGCTGGAATCCGCTCCTGCTCTTGGTGGACACAGATCTGAGAGATCCAGATCAGTGTCGAGCGCATCGTCTCCGTGAGACGGTGAAGAACACTAGACCATCGTCCCCGAAACATCCGTCTGCACGAACCGGGTCCTTGACGGCGGTTTGATGCATGCCTGGGTAACTGGTGAACAGTGTGGAGCTCTAGAAACATGCCTTTACACAATAAAATGCACATATTTGAATTTAATATTGGATTGGCGGCTACTTGGAACACTTCAGAAATTGTGCCAAAGCTTCTAATAAAGAAACTTTCATGACATCCCATGAATTCTAGAAGTACATCTCTAGAATTGCTGAAGTAATATCTTCATGTATAAGTCAACAGGTATCTTGGCTTCCGCCAATCTATATAACTTTCATGGTAAATATTTTTTGATATGCATTTAAAAATCATCTGGCTTAGACATTCCATCAAAAGCAGTAAGTGTGTGACAACACTTGATGGAGTGTTTAACAAACAGCACTTTCTATCTGAAGTTTGTGAAAAAAATAAACTCGGTAAATTGTGACCGTCGCACTGAGGCGTCACATGACACCATGTTGTCATATGACAATGATGTCACGTGGCCTTCTGACATCATGCAATGCCATAAACACAAACATAAGGTTCCCATGTAAAGTAATCTCCTTTAAGGCATTCTCATACCAACCAAAACAAGTTCCAGCATATGACCCCACCTTTATTTTTGTAGATGCCCGTCGTCTGCGTCAGTGCACACCGTGTCTTGCAACACGCTGCTGCTGATGCCAAAGACGGCCTTGTGCTAGTTGCCGCACTGGAGTTCCCTAAAGAGAAAAGAAAGAAGGAACTATAAAATCACCTGGGAACCGTTGATACCATCAAAGCATTGTATGGGTGTTCACGGTGGCATCAAGGCACGCAATTTGGGCACATGTTCAAACAGGTTCTAGGACAGATATTGCAATATGGCAGAGGTTCAGTTAGTGGCCCATACATACCGGAGGGCACTGGGGCTCCTGATGTAGTCCTCATCCCGAAAATGCTCGCTGCATAGACGATCACTTTTCGAGGGAACCCACGTTGGAAAGGACGGGCGAGCGAGACGACTCCACAGGTAACAGAGCTTCTCGTCCTCTCACAACGAACAACACTGTTCCCACAACCCTCTGCCGCACAATATTTTGGCATCCTGTCGTAAAGTGGCCGAAAAACCTCGCAGAAAAATGATGTGTGTTAAACTTCACGACAAAGACACGCGCACCAAACCTGAGAACAACCGAAGCACGCGTTTGCACGTCGCGCGAGAGCTGAAACCAAGGTGGCTCACTTCGTTTTGGCTCTTTCCACCAAGACGCCTCGGTATTGCTTTCAGGCCTAGCCAATCTATACCAGTGAGCGGACATACCGCTGTGGCGCTCCTTTCAGAGGCATGTTGTCGTCACGACATTCCATTGAAGCTGGTCCCCCCCAACTACCAGGTGGTTTTTGATTATCGTTTAATTCACTTTAAAATATGTTTTCTTGCGCAATATTTATGTTTCTGTGGTTGTGCTCCTACCTGCGTCGTGTTGAAACAAGGAAATGAGCTCCAGAATTTGGTTTCCGTACCCCTTTAACGTTTTATCCATGTTGCAGGTCCCCTGTATCCCCTTTGTCACGGATTCAATTGGCCTTCAATAAGGAACATCACCTGGATATTTTCATGCCTCTTCGGGAATTTACCTGGCTTATTCGTGAATCGATATCTTTCGCCTAGAATGAGACCTTTTTGTGGTATTTGTATTTAGTATTTTAGTTTTTGTGGTATTTGAATTTTAATATTTTAGTGCACTACAGTGAAGACTGAAAAGTTTTTGTGGGCACAAAAAATAAAGAATTATTATTATTATGATTATTATCATCATCATCAAGAAGTCCCCAGGAACCGTCGTTCCTTTTTACTGCTCTGCGAGTTTTCACTCGTAATCGCTTTCAATCGGAACATCCGGCGCCGACGAGCTTTTCGTGACTCGGACGATTCCTCTGCGTCGTTCCGGGCACTGACTTTGCTCAAGATCGGGTCCCCAACGTCTTCACTGACATCATTCCACCACGTAGGCCTAAGTGACTTTGCGTCTTCGTCCGCCTCGGCTCCTTGAACGCCCGTTGTGCGCAAGCTTGCCTGGCACGACGATCTCCACGGTGCGCAAAGCATCTCGCGCCAGCCTGCCCAACACATCAAGGCGACGCACGTGACACGGGAGTACAGCACTACAGATCTTTCCCTTCTGCGCGTGTGCTATGTCTTCTCCACCCAAGTGCGCTCAAAGCCACGAGAAGATTGTGAACGATGGTCGGCACATGTCCTGCGCCGAGTTCAGAACATCGTATCATCTAGGGAAGCTTTGCTCCGGTGTTGCGGAAAATACATTCAAGACCATGGGTGTTGGAAAACGAGAGGTCTGGCGCTGCCCTGTGTGCCGACAACGACATAGCGGGAATGAGTCTCGAAGTGAAGCCAGAGCTCGTCACAATGCGCGTCTCCTGCTGGTACGGAACATCTTCGGTCGCTGGAAGCTAAACTGGAGTGTCTCACCTTGCTGAAGGCCAATGTTGACACCCTCCTCGACTTACCGACTCAGATGACTCAACTCCTGACATTGAAGCCGGTAGTCGAGAGCCTGAAATCCGCAGTAACGGAGGTTCAGAAGGCCGTAGACTTACTGTCGGCTTGGTACGACTCTCTGCTGTCTACAGCCACTCCGTGAGGAAACGAGAGCTCCGTGAGGAAACGAGAGCTCCGTGAGGAAACGACATTGCTAAGAACCGTGGTAACAGAGCAGTCTCAGACCATCGAGTACCTGAAAGAAGAGCTGAACGATAGTGACCAGTACAGTCGTCTCTCAAACCTTGAGATACATGGACTCCCTCATGCCCCAAGTGAAAGCTTAGTCTCCGTTGTAGGCGAGTTGGCTGGCAAGCTAGGCCTCGAAAACTTTCAGCCAAGGTACATACTGGCGGTGCATCGTCTACCATTTCGGCGCGACGGCCCTCTAGTTATCTTGGTTAAATTGGGTTCAGTGTCGCTAAGAGAACAATGGCTCGCCACGCGAGGTAAGCTGAGGACTCTGGCGGCAGAGGGTTCGTTGCCCAAACTCTTCCTCAACGAGAACCTAACGCAAAAGAACAGGGAACTCTTTCGGATGGTACGGGAGAAAGCAAGAAGCAAGCAGTACCAATCCACTTGAGTGAAAAATGGGAAAAATGGGGAACCTCGTCACTGGTTCGCATCCACCGGTTGGCCGACCTGGAATTGATTGTCTAACTCTTTTTGTTGCTACACGGCTTACAAATACCAGTGGATAACAACCGCGTCGAATAATGAAAGTACAGTTTCGTCAATGTTCAGATTTTTCTTCATTTCAACGTTTCTCAGAACCAGCTAGTGAAAGTACTCTTGGCTTCTTACATGTAAATATTACAAGTATTTGTAAATGTTGGGACCAGCTTGTAATAACTGTGTGGGATACTGTGTTGTGATAACGAGCGAATCCCAACATAGAAAAAAGGAACGGCGGTTCATGGCCTCGGCAGCGGCGTGCGACGGACGTTCCTGTGCCCCGCGTGCCTGAGTAGCGCCCGGCCGTGCTTTTCCGAAGCAGACGACGACGAGGTGAAGGCTGCGCCAAAATGTTGGTGATTGTGCGTCGCCACATCAACCACCCCCCCCCCCCCCCCCCAGGAGTGGAGGGCCCTCAGGGCTTGTAAAAAT